GATTTGTTGTTCAAGAAACATTTCTTATTATTATCAATGCTGAAAACAGTTTTGACGTTAAATATTTTTGTGGAAACATTACACATTTTTTTTCCAGGATTTTTGATAAATAGAAAGTTTAAAAGAACTGCAATTACTTAAAATAGAAATCTTTTGTAAAATTAAAAATGTCTTTATTGTAAATTCTGATCAATGTAATGCATCCTAGCTGGAATAAAGTTCTCATTTATTTAAAAAAATAAAAATCTTACTGACCACAAACTTTTAAATAGTACTGTAAATACAGGAATCATTATTAGTACAATATGATGAGGGGAAAACAGCAGCAGTAGAGTCCTCTCCTCCAACTTCCAAAATTTTAGCCTTCATACCTGGTAGGCACGGATGAGGGACTGCACAGCAAGGTGGTCTTCCACCAGTTTTTCCACATTAGGCTGAGCTCCAACCAGTGCCTGGGCCTGAGACAGTCCTGAGAGACTCACCCCCACTGGAGGTGGGTTTTGGTAGGCAGAGCCAGGGGGAGCGCCTGCGTTGGCATTACGGAAGAAGATGTCCCAAGACTGTTGAGAAAGGAGAAATCACAGTAGAAGAATAATAACAATACTTCAAGTGCTGTGCACTAAACACATTTGAAAAAAAAAAAGATTTATTAAGATACATCCACTGACGTCCACAAGTTATTTTGGATTATTAAAATAAAATGTTAAATAGCAATTTCAATTTTAAAATTTCAATTTAGTTTTGTTATTTGAATTTCAATTTCACAAAGAATTGTGCAGCATTTTGTCCGAACAATAACGAAAGGACATCTTTTCATTTATAATTTGTTTTAAATCTCATTTTGATGAAAAAAATAAATAAAAATTGTGAGAAAATCGTGAAATCAGTATCGTGAATCGTATTGCATCGTGAGTTGAGTGAATCATTACATCCGTACTGCCGACCAGCATAATTGGTGTCTTGCATCATCACACAGGAATTATTCTGAATCATGAATTTTGCTTCATCCTCCAAAGTCTTCAATACAGATGGGAACTGTGGTCAAATCTGAGTAAACTGGGAAGGGGTCAACTTTCAGTAAACTGCTTTTCTGAGCAGCAAAACTTCACTGGATAAGCTGGATGTTCGATTGCATAACCAAAGACATTTGATGCAATCATCTGAAAAGCTTTAGGTTCATGCAGGGACAGAAAAGAAGAGCAGTTTGAACCCTAGACCATGTCTGACCTTGTTCTGAGCATAAGGGCTTACTTACCTGCATATCGGGTCACTGTGATTAAATGACACATCACACAGGACCTCATACTAACCTGATAAATAAACCCTACCGTCAATACACTACTGAGGTCTCGCTAGTACTGGATGCTCATTGACAATCAGCCTGTCACTGATTAAAAAAAAGGCTCTAAAATATCAAGCTTTGCCATTAGAAGGAACTGATAAGACAGAGCAAAGCCATTTGGGATGCTGAAAATTTGAATTTTTATAATTGAGTTTTTTATTCAAATTTTGCTTAAGTAGAACATTGCACTGCCAAAACACATTTTCATAATTAGCAATTTTGTCTTGTTTTCAAGTAAAATAAATCTAAACAACAAAGTTTTTTTTCTTATTTCAATGGCAGGCTGATTTTACCGAGGTTTATGCTTAAAACAAGAACATTTTGAAGTGGGGTAAGAAAATTCAACTTAATTTGAGATATATTTTCTGAAAACAAGTCTGTCCTCATATACTATGCAATTCTTCTTCTGAAGTAAACGCATCTCTTTTTAATGGTGTTTCAATATTTATACAGTAAAAAAAAAAATACTGCCTAAGAAAAGTTTCTTTACAGGATGTGTAATGAATGGTAATTAAATAAATCACACATCTTGTTTACAAATGTTCATGACACAAGGAACCTGAAGATCAGGAATCAAAACATTTGATGAACTATTTTGAGTTTGTATGGGGCATTCTGATGGTTCACATTTCTCAAATTGTTGTGTTGACTGTTTTGACAATAAACTAACCACAATCTTCCTCAGCAAGCTGACTGTGTACGTGAGGTTTGTCTCTTGCTTCCAATCGTCCATGCTGAATGTGTGCATGCAGGTAAACCTCTACAAACAGTATGTGCACAATACAATGAGAAATAAAGCAAATGCTATTCACAGCATTCAGAAAAGCCTACAGCCTAGGCGTTACCAGTGCAATAAAAGAGCCACTGTGAGAGGATATGAAAATGGCAATCTGCAGAGAGAAAGAGGAACTACAACATGACACTAGATGAGACAAGTATTTCACTAGGAAGCAGACACTTTTGAGGTCAAGAGTGATGTATGCAAAGACATTAGGAAACATAATTTACAATGGGCAAAGCCAGGGGACTGCATATGATAACGTACAAACTTAATTTGGCACCATTATTTGGCATCACAGATCTATTCCAAATAGTAGGCAGCACAATAGTCTAGTCAAATGTCATACATACCCTATGTTCAAAAGTTTTGGGTCAGTAATTTTTATATATACAGTGGAAATCAAAATTAGATATCAACGTACAATTTCCTAAATTTCAAGGTCAATGCTTAGTCCTATTTGAAGTTATCCTAACAGGAGTAGATGGGCAGTTTTTAAGCATATTTCATAAATTAATTGTATTCTGAAGCACAGTATAAAAAAACTTGAAAAATAAAATGATCAAAATTAGAGAAAACTTACAGATACCTTTAAGTTATTGGTGTTAATCTGGCACCTGGTGCTAATTTCCTTAATTATATGACGCACCCTATTTAACTCGCAATATTCCTCTAATTTTCACTGAGACTGTAAGATGGCAGGCTGCTCTAATCTGACTGAAACCCAGCAACAGGAGGTTGTCCAGATGAAGGCCAAAGGGACGACCCTTTCAGCCACTGCAAGAGACGTTTGAATCTCTAATCTGTGATTTTTAGTATACTGCAGCTTTACAATGACACTAATTAATTCAAGTCCCCAAAAATGCTGGTTGTCCATGTAAGACAAATTCAAGAGAAGGCAGGATAATGCGGAGACTCTCAATGGGCAATCGGTTCAACACTGCAGCTGGAATTGCTCGCCAGTTCAGCGCTGAACAGGGTAAGGATCTGTCTCGGCACGTTTAAGAGAAGTCAAACTGAAAGCACACTTTTCAGTGATGAAGACTCTCATCAGCAGAAAGAATCAAAAGGCTAGGCCCACCTTTGCTGAGGAGTATGTTGTGTGGACAGAGGAGAACTGGTCCAAAGTTCGCTTTAGTGAGAGAAAGTTTAATTTATTTGGGTCTGATGGGAAACATTTTGTTTGGCATCAAACTGGGGAAAGACTGAAGCCCAAGTGCGTAAAGAAGTCAGTGAAAGCTGGAGGAGGAAGTGTCATGGTTTGGGGGATGTTTTGTGCAGCAGGTGTTGGGCCTCTTATACAGCGACATGGCAGGTGAATGCAAATGTTTATCAGAACCTCCTTCAGCAACTACCTTCCCTGCAAGCATCTCCCAATCAGCCTGCAGTTTTCATGCAGGACAATGCCCCTGTCACACTGCAAAACGGGTAAAGCAGTTCCTTGAAGCTAAGAACATTGAAATAATGAAATGAAATGGCCGGCCCAGGGTCCTGACAGCTGTAACCCTCCAAAATTCTAGTTATAATCTTCTTTTGTGCTACAGTGGTTACTGTTCTCTAATTATGATCACTGTGATTTCCACAAAATAAAGGTTTTCGTTGAAATGCCTTGGTTATTTTGTCAAACATGTTAGGAACAGGGTATACCCACAGCTAATAATCCTTCAAACTTTGAGCAATGAAGATTAACAATATTTCAGAAAAATGTTCTCTAATTTTGATCTCTAATGTACATGTATATTTGTTTTTCAGAAAGGATACATTAAACTGATCAAAAGTTACATTTTTATTGTTACAAAAAGATTTCTATTTTAAATAAATGCTTTCTATTTATCAAAGAATCCTGAAGATAATGTATTGTGGTTTCCACAAAAATATTAAGCAATACAATCGTTTTCAACATTGATAATATTAAGAAATGTTTCTTGAGCAGCAAATCAGCATATCAGATTGATTTCTGAAGGATCATGTGACACTGAAGTTTGGAGTAATGATGCTGAAAATTCAGCTTTGCGTAACAGAAATAAATTACATTTTAAATTATATTCAAATAGAAACCAAGTATTTTAAATTGTAATAATATTTCACAATATTCCTGTTTTTACTGTATTTTTGATCAAATAAATGCAGCCTTGGAGAGCAGAATAGTTCTTCTTAAGAAAAAATCTTACTGACCCCAAACTTTTGAGTATAGACTCAAAAGTCCTATTAATTAAATGTGCAATTTCACTTAATAATTGTGTGTGCTATATGTATTTTTGGACTTATTAGAGTATTGATCTGTTTATTGTAATCAACTGATCATTGGCCGCAAGGTTTGGAACAAGGCCATCAACTCCAGTATCACCCATTTCCTAAGCAATGTTTATATTATGTTGAACCTGCACACAAACAACACTCACTGCGGAGTGTGCTTTTATTTTACCCATTGCAAATATCCAAACAGGTCTGGACAACATGCATGCTCCAGGTAAGGGAGGACAGCACAAAAATAAGCCATGCCACCTAAAAAGATTCAATCATTCTCCAACGCCTGATCAAAACCTCACCAAGTTTACTAGAGGATGTGATTATATCTGCTGGTATGAACGAATCAAGATCAGCATCCATAATTCCCAGAGGATCCAGCTGTGCAACGTGGTGCCCTCGAATCTGCAGGGTTCCAGAAAAAAGACAGAGGAGACAGAAAAAGAAAAAGAGGAGAAGGTAGGACAGTAACCCAAAGAAAAGTAGAGACAGTTAAGGAGGTAAGATTGAGACAGAGCGAGTGTGAAAGCCACCAGAGAGATGACAGAAGAACAGGGACAGAAGGACAGAGCAATGTTAACACAATGAATGAGCATGCTCGCAATCACACTGAACACCACAAGCAGTTCTCACCAGACTGATGGGACCCGATAGTAAGTGGGGCATTGTCAAAATTTACACAACTGATGCCCAAAGGGTCGAGTTTGGCTATATGATGACCTCTGACCTGTGAACAAGGCAACAGCACTTACAAGCTAACAGAGGAGCGCAATCACAGAATAACATTCTTTACTAAGGCACTTATATTTTATATTGAAAGGGTCCTAGCTTTTTAATTAATCAAATTAGCCAAGATAATTATATTTAAATCTATTCTGTGGAGATTTGCAGATAAAGATTGTGTCGAAAAGATCCTCATGTATGAGGATAATATGAGGTCCTCATATACTTTATCCAACATATTGGACCAGCGATATATGACTGAAACGTGGAGCGTTTAGAAGTAAGGGTAATATGTTTAGGCAGTACAATACCAGCAAAAAGGAATGCTGACTTGTTTTTTTTATCTTTTACAGAGTAAAGTCATAAAAACAATGAAATAACTTAAATCTGCACTAATGTTCAAAAGTCTGGGGTTGGTAAGATTTAAAATATATATATTTTTGAAAGAAGTCTTGCAGGCTCACCAAAGCTGCATTAATTTGAATAAAATACAGCAAATATTGTGCAATATTATTACAATTTTAAATAAATATTTTCTATCTGAATATATTTGAAAGCACAATTTACTAATGTGATGCAGAGCTGAATTTTCAGCATCATTTCTCCAGTCTTCAGTGTCACATGAGAAATTATTCTAATATGCTGATTTGTTGTTCAATAAACATTTCTTATTATTATCAATGCTGAAAACAGTTTTGACGTTAAATATTTTTGTGGAAACATTACACATTTTTTTTCCAGGATTTTTGATAAATAGAAAGTTTAAAAGAACTGCAATTACTTAAAATAGAAATCTTTTGTAAAATTAAAAATGTCTTTATTGTAAATTCTGATCAATGTAATGCATCCTAGCTGGAATAAAGTTCTCATTTATTTAAAAAAATAAAAATCTTACTGACCACAAACTTTTAAATAGTACTGTAAATACAGGAATCATTATTAGTACAATATGATGAGGGGAAAACAGCAGCAGTAGAGTCCTCTCCTCCAACTTCCAAAATTTTAGCCTTCATACCTGGTAGGCACGGATGAGGGACTGCACAGCAAGGTGGTCTTCCACCAGTTTTTCCACATTAGGCTGAGCTCCAACCAGTGCCTGGGCCTGAGACAGTCCTGAGAGACTCACCCCCACTGGAGGTGGGTTTTGGTAGGCAGAGCCAGGGGGAGCGCCTGCGTTGGCATTACGGAAGAAGATGTCCCAAGACTGTTGAGAAAGGAGAAATCACAGTAGAAGAATAATAACAATACTTCAAGTGCTGTGCACTAAACACATTTGAAAAAAAAAAAGATTTATTAAGATACATCCACTGACGTCCACAAGTTATTTTGGATTATTAAAATAAAATGTTAAATAGCAATTTCAATTTTAAAATTTCAATTTAGTTTTGTTATTTGAATTTCAATTTCACAAAGAATTGTGCAGCATTTTGTCCGAACAATAACGAAAGGACATCTTTTCATTTATAATTTGTTTTAAATCTCATTTTGATGAAAAAAATAAATAAAAATTGTGAGAAAATCGTGAAATCAGTATCGTGAATCGTATTGCATCGTGAGTTGAGTGAATCATTACATCCGTACTGCCGACCAGCATAATTGGTGTCTTGCATCATCACACAGGAATTATTCTGAATCATGAATTTTGCTTCATCCTCCAAAGTCTTCAATACAGATGGGAACTGTGGTCAAATCTGAGTAAACTGGGAAGGGGTCAACTTTCAGTAAACTGCTTTTCTGAGCAGCAAAACTTCACTGGATAAGCTGGATGTTCGATTGCATAACCAAAGACATTTGATGCAATCATCTGAAAAGCTTTAGGTTCATGCAGGGACAGAAAAGAAGAGCAGTTTGAACCCTAGACCATGTCTGACCTTGTTCTGAGCATAAGGGCTTACTTACCTGCATATCGGGTCACTGTGATTAAATGACACATCACACAGGACCTCATACTAACCTGATAAATGTCTAATAGGCTTTAAGGAGCTAAAGAGCTCAGTGTGTTAAATTAAGAGCGCCGATGCCGAATCATCTCGCAGAAGGGCGAAGTAGTGAAACTGTATTATGCACTTCCTTCATAATTTCCCTCAACAATTTAGTTATTATTTATTACTTCTGTCTACAATAGTCTGTATTTTGCTTTTATCTATGGCTGCCCATTTGAGGATTCACTTGTGTACTTTTTCTATGGCTCAAGATGAATGAAATACTCCAAGGTCAAAAGAGTTAAAGCTCATTTATATAAATGTGTATAAATATGTATAGCAATATATAAATGCACAGACAGACAGTATTGGCTGTTCATCTAAAGGTATGCTTAAGTGTGATGTTCAAAGAAAGAAATAATAAAAAAAAGATACAGAACTAAATGGAAAGGTAAAAGCAGGTTTGTCCACTGCGCTTGACTTAGTGTGTTACAGTATGATACATTCTTCACAGTTTCTCAGAAAACATTTAGTTCTAGTTTGAAAACATCCTGGCTGGAAACCATACAAGGGCATGTGAAATGGAAAAGAAAAGTCTTACATAACAGCCCTGCAAAGCTAAGCTTACTGTCAGAGAGGGGAAACAAAGTCACATTATGAAACGTGGATGTCCTCAAGCACAACCTTGGAGACCAAAGAAGTTCCTCTGCAGTTTACTACACAAACAAATCAGTTAAGTTCTTAAAAGAATCATTCTAACTGCCATGTGAACTGAATCAACTGATTCATTTCTAAAGATTTGACTCAAAGGGATGTTTCATTCAAAAATCAAGATGTTGCTACCTCTTACATGAAACTGTCAAGAAGATTTAGGGGGCGGATATCAAGATTTTTAGAAGATAACAACTTGGTTTATCTGGGTGCTTTCTGCATTAAGTCCTCAAAGATTCGCTTACATATATTATATGGGTCTATAATAAAATGGAAGTAAGTAAATGACGACAGAGTTGTCATTTTGTGTGGACTGCTCTTTCAACACTCAAACAATTACCAATTCACCTTTTTAAAACAAACTTGAAGACCAAAAAAGGAAAGTCATTTGAGAGGCAGAGTAAGTTAAGCTGTGATGAAAGATTATGAATACATTGTTTTCTGTAGTATTGCATCCACTGATTAATCTTTCACAATATGAACAGGAATGTGCATTGTGAAAGTAAACAGGGAGAATTTTGATTTCACGTGGATTTTAAGCGTCATAACTGTGGTATTGCAGCAAAGCAGCCAGGATTTTCACAAAATCCTCTACGCTGAGAGCTGACATCTTACCTTGTGCACACTCTTGGGGTTCTCCAGCCATGCGTAGTACATCTCCTCCACATAGTTGGAGCTCGTCCCATTGAGAAAAGGCTCAGCGGCGACAGGGGCCGTGTAGCACCGAAAGGGCTGAAACGTCCTTAGGGCCCCGGGTGTCATCGCTGTTCTCTGTTGTGAGAAACTTGTAGCATTCTGAGAGGCTGTGAACGGCCGTAGCCGTGCAGCGCAAGTCCTTAAGCGATGCATTGCAGTCTATAAACCAGCTCCACTACTTCTCCAAACCAACCTCGAGAACTAAAGCTCCACACAACACTAAATCCAACAGATCCTGGATGTGGTCTTTTAATTTAAGGTGCTTGTCCTCCTACTCCTCCACTCAAGGTCTATTCGACTCAAGTTCCAGGAAACTGAAAGAAACACCATGTCAGTACATAAGATAAATAAAATGACATTGCGGCCACAGTAAATGTTTAGGAATGAATCGCATGTTTTTGTGCCTGTCCTACAGGTCTGGTTTGCTCAGAAGTCTCGCAAAGGATTCTTCCCGAGCATGAGACAGATGCACATGTGTGCAGTCCTTTAATTTATAAAAAAAGATGACTGGATACCAAAACCTCGTCGAGCATGATATATGGCATTACACTTTTCAACAGTGGAAAATCTGCCTGACAAGAAAAAATACATGTTTCTTATTATAATAATGAATTGCCGATGTCCGCTTTTCGTGACTATACGTTCATAGAAAAGGACTCTTCTTAGAAATAAGAAAAGAAAGAAAGAAAGAGCCACTAATAAGTTTAAAGAAGAGTTATAATAATCTCTTAGCAGCAGCGAAGGTCTCGTGAGTAACGTAACGGTCCCCAACGGCTAGCTTCAGCTAACACCAGCAAATACAAAACTCTCCATAAAACCATCACACGTCTGTTTAAATTGCCATTGTCTCAATGGAAGAGAAAAAATATCACATTATACAACTCTAACAACAAACACACCTTTAAATGTGTCTAATTACAGAGTTTTCTCTTCAGGGTTGCTGACAGACGCAGAAGTGACTCGCTAACGCCTCACTGACAGACGCATTAAAACATCAAAAGCGCTGCGAAAGCAGATAAAAAGCGATTCAAATACTTACTCTTAGAGCGAAATGAATCGCATGTTTTTGTGGCTGTCCTACAGGTCTGGTTTGCTCAGAAGTCTCGCAAAGGATTCTTCCCGAGCATGAGACAGTCCTTTAATTTATAAAAAAAGATCACTGGATACCAAAACCTCGTCGAGCATGATATATGGCATTACACTTTTCAACAGTGGAAAATCTGCCTGACAAGAAAAAATACATGTTTCTTATTATAATAATGAATTGCCGATGTCCGCTTTTCGTGACTATACGTTCATAGAAAAGGACTCTTCTTAGAAATAAGAAAAGAAAGAAAGAAAGAGCCACTAATAAGTTTAAAGAAGAGTTATAATAATCTCTTAGCAGCAGCGAAGGTCTCGTGAGTAACGTAACGGTCCCCAACGGCTAGCTTCAGCTAACACCAGCAAATACAAAACTCTCCATAAAACCATCACACGTCTGTTTAAATTGCCATTGTCTCAATGGAAGAGAAAAAATATCACATTATACAACTCTAACAACAAACACACCTTTAAATGTGTCTAATTACAGAGTTTTCTCTTCAGGGTTGCTGACAGACGCAGAAGTGACTCGCTAACGCCTCACTGACAGACGCATTAAAACATCAAAAGCGCTGCGAAAGCAGATAAAAAGCGATTCAAATACTTACTCTTAGAGCGAGAGATTCTGTACAGCGCAGTTTAATGTCATGAAACAAAAAATGAAAGAGAAAGAGTGGGGTATCAGGAGCGGATGAGTCTCGTGGCGGATAGTCGTTTCTAGGCAGCAGCGCGAGCAGCGGCTTCAAGTGCGCATGACGTCAGCCTCACGGCACGAGGAGTTGCATTTTTTTCTTCCAGCACGTTTTGTATGTAAAGCATGGGCGAGGCCAGAAGCTTCAGATCTATAAATCCATCTCCCGCAGGTGCTCTGGCTTCATTTGTAAGTCAGACGGTTCGGATTCAGTGCTAAGACTTCGTTTCAATTGGGATATTCAATATATACTTTTTAAAGGTCCATATGTAATTACCATGCAAATATTTCTTTTTATTAGGAAAATACCATACATATTTAAGAAGGAGCTGGCTCTTTGCGAACCAAATTAAATTTGATAAATAACTTACCATAGTATATTTAAAGTACATTGGTAATTACTGTACCGTGTAACCACCACAGTACCTCAGAAAGGTTTTTGTGCATCTTATTCTGCAATTTTGTTCTTATAAGAAACACACAAATATAGACAAATTAAAGATTAATATTTCAGTTTCTGGAAGACTTCAGGAAGAATCATGGCTCGGGACAGATTTTATTTGACCTCTTGAAAAGATCTATTTTGTCCTTATATTTAGTATTTTATATGCCTTTGTGTACGTTTATAAACTAATATAACAGCATATACAATTTTTAAAAACCTGTTTATTAAGACAGGATGAGAAATTTTGTATGCACAAGACTGCATGACCATAGAATAATAACCATAACTTTTCCTTAATGATGAGCATGTAAACAGCCATTGTTGATTCATCTGGCCAGAGTACTGTGCAAAGAACTGTCTGTACTATGCATTTACACCAGTTTCCACTGAACACAAACCATTTGTAGTGACTCAAAAGTACACACAGTTGTGAAATAAATTCACATGCTGCTTTCTCATATCTTATCAGCTTTCAGAGGCAGCTGGTCATTCAGATAAACCCCCTACATGCGTTAGCAAGATCTCCACATCAGCAGAAGAGCATTTTGTTTAGTATACAACAGATATAAAAACCACACCATGGGTTTTGAGTCTTTTTTATTGATAATACTGATAACATCTTAATACATTTCCTATAGCACACATAGAGAGAAAAAGAGGGAGAGCACATTGGAAGAACAGATATGAATATCAATAAGAATTAGGAGAAACAAAGATTTCAAAAGAATTATTTTTTCACAACTGAATCAAATCCACATCATCCCGTTTTAGTTTATATACAAAAAAAAAAAACTTGCAAAGTTGGAAAAGGCTGATGTTCAGAGAAATGTGCAGCCGTCAGATTTAAGCAAAAAGATTACAAAAGACATTGGGGAAAAAACGTGAATACTAAATAGCATAAACCCCCTACATGCGTTAGCAAGATCTCCACATCAGCAGAAGAGCATTTTGTTTAGTATACAACAGATATAAAAACCACACCATGGGTTTTGACAGTCTTTTTTATTGATAATACTGATAACATCTTAATACATTTCCTATAGCACACACAGAGAGAAAAAGAGGGAGAGCACATTGGAAGAACAGATATGAATATCAATAAGAATTAGGAGAAACAAAGATTTCAAAAGAATTATTTTTTCACAACTGAATCAAATCCACATCATCCCGTTTTAGTTTATATACAAAAAAAAAAAACTTGCAAAGTTGGAAAAGGCTGATGTTCAGAGAAATGTGCAGCCGTCAGATTTAAGCAAAAAGATTACAAAAGACATTGGGGAAAAAACGTGAATACTAAATAGCAATTGGCTTGATGTTGTAAGAGCAGCGACGCGTCACAACTAGAGAAACACAACACTGATTCACTCTTTCACATATGTGTAACACACTCAAGACACACACCAGCTTCCCATTAGTGGCCTGATTAAATAATATCACTCATCACTTGGTCATTGTGTTTGGAGAAGAATCCAGTTGATAACAGATTAAACACTCTTTTGGTGGTTATTCAAGTGTATATACATCTAAAAAAAACATTTAGGTTTCATTAACACAATTTGTTAGTGCATTAAGATTGTGTTTCTGTGTTTAAGCAGAAAAGTGAGTGAATTCTTGGAGATCTTAACATTATGCATTTTTTGTCTAACTAGAACAGTGTGGTAAAGAGCGCCACCTACAGGATTAGACAGCATTTGAGCAAAGCACAATGAAGGTTGTTGATTAAATTACATCGAACACAGACATAATTCGAGGTCCCTTTTGTAGACTGGCAGCCAAAGCACGATCCATTCCATAATAAATCACATGCATAATGTGACCTAGTGTGACAGCGGCAAACACTGCGATTGACCCACATTAACAAACACATTGTTCATTATTTCACATTTTCTGTGGGTTCAACCAACACTGCTCAAACAACAACAAATGCCTTTACAAAAGCATGCCGTACAATCAGAATAGCTGTTTTACCATGATAGTCATCATCTTTAGACAAAAATAGTTATATGCACTTACAAAGCTCAGAAAATAGATAGAATCACCAGCATTCAGTATAAAATAAACAGAATGAAACAAACAAACAAAAAAAAAAGTCACCAAAATGTATTATTGTGAAGTTCATGCAAATAGTTTCCACTTATAAGATAAGTTAACATTATGCAGCGGTCGTTTTACAAGATATCTATTTGTTGAGCAGTTTTATTTCCAATTATTGTCTGCAATAACTAAACACACATAAGTAAGAAATAACACCAGTTTGTTGACATGCGGACTGCTGTTTGCGGCGGATGTTGTATTTGTCACCATTTACATAGAGTTTGAAACTCTCATTAAAGTGAACTACAAAAATAAAAGTCACATTTCAGATTAAAATTAAAGGAATAGTTCACCTATAAACAAAATTTTGTTGAAAATGGTTTCTTGCTTAGGCCATCCAAGATGTTGATGAGTTTCTTCATCAGAACAGATTTTGAGAAATTTGGCATTACATCACTTGCTCATCAATACAGCCTCTGCAGTGAATGGGTGCCGTCAGAATGAGAGTCTAAACGGCTGATAAAAACATCACAATAATCCACAAGTAACCCACACCACTCCAGTTCAGCAACGTTTGTAAGAAACAAATCCATCAAGACATTTTAACTTTTTAACTGTAAACTATTGCTTCTGGCTAAAATGCGAGTCCATAATCCATAATGATGCTTCCTCCAGTGAAAAACTCCATCCTCAGGACTCT